GAATTTAAAATAGAACACACACAAGTGTATTACTTCTGAAATGGGAAAATACAATCTGCCTGCTACAAAGGCCTATGGCCGAAATATATATAAGCACATCAGGGGGAGAGGGAAGCTTCCTAGTACATTCACTTATTTGGGGAATAATGTCCACTTATTTTAATGGAATGAAAACAAGGAAGAAGGATGAGGTTGTGGGGGAGGGTGTTTCGGCCTGGTGTGGGGAGTGAGGGGTTGGAAAATGAGACTCACTTATTTGGTTGGAAATGGGGATTCTTTTATGGTGGGTTTTGGTGGGGTTATGCACGGCCCAGGTGGGGAAACAAGGAAGGAGGAATATGGCAGGTTTTTTGGCTTCTCATGAGTTGGGTTTTCTTGATAAATTATGAGCCAATGTATGCTGAATTGTTCTTGGCCTGTTATGGTTGTTTATTCAGCTTGATTGGGGGAACACAAGGGGACCACTGCTAGTACACATTGGAGAAATAATGGGTTGGGTTTTGGCTCTTAGTTTTCGGCCTTTCCAGGGAAAAGAAAAGGATTTGTGGATTTAGCATGTGGTTTAAAGTGTGATGAGGTGTTGTGGGGGTGTGTGGGTTCGGCCAGTGGTAAAAAAAAGGAAGGGACTTGGGTTTGATTTGGATATTTGGGAGGGGTGGTTTTGGGTGGTACTTTCGGCCATCAAGGTGGGGGAAGGTCCAACAGGACCAGGGTCGGGATGTATGGTTTATGGGTGATGTATTCATTCCAAAAAGGATTAAAACACTTGGACATTATTCCACAGATTTGTTTACGGACTCAAGGATCATTGTTGGTGGTCGGGGGTATATCATCCTCCCCTTCTTCAGAAGAGTTTGTCCTCAAACTCGGCAGTTCCTCAGGCTCGAAGTACGGGCTGACGTCCTTGATATTGAAAGTAGCTGATACTCCATAATCTCCCAGAAGGTTAATCTTGTAGGCATTGTCGTTGATTTTCTCTATGACTTCAAACGGGCCATCGGCTCTTGGCAGCAACTTTGACTTGCGTTTCGTGGGGAAACCCACTTTCCGAAGGTGAATCCAAACAAGGTCTCCTGGTTGGAAGTGGACGTTCTTCCTTCCTCTGTTGATGCGTGCGCTTACCTTCTCGTTCATAGCCTCAATCTTCTCTCGAACCCTAGCGTGAAGGTCTTGGATTTCCTTTGACCGCTTGTCTGCTTCCCAACTGTATTTGGTTTCCGTGATGATCGGATCAAGTTCAAGTGGGGTCAAGGGGTTCGAACCATAGACCACCGTGAATGGGGATAGTCCGGTAGTCTTGTTCGGGTTTCGGTTGTAGGCAAACTCGGCGTGCGGAAGAAGCTCCTCCCATTGCTTGATGTTCTTCTTAATGAGGACTCGTAAGAGTGTTCCAAGGGTGCGGTTGGTGACCTCGGTTTGGCCATCAGTTTGTGGGTGGCTTGACATACTAAACTTCAGTTTAGTGCCCAATTTTCTCCAAAGAGTCATCCAGAAATGACCAAGGAATTTGGTGTCTCTGTCCGATACCATGCTTCGAGGAACGCCATGGAGTTTGACTATCTCTCGAAAGTAGATAGTGAAGGTGAAGGTTTGGATGTATTCGACCCATTTAGCATGACGGGGCCGGAGCTTATGCTGCCCATGAATGTATTTCAACGCTTCATGATCGGAATGTAATATGAACTCCTTGCTCACGAGGTAATGATGCCAATGCTCAAGTGACCGCACCAATGCATAGAACTCCTTTTCGTAAGTGGAATACCTCCTTCTTGTGTCGTTTAGCTTTTCGCTAAAATACGACACCGGGTGTCCTTCTTGAGAAAGGACAGCCCCGATTCCAACTCCCGAGGAATCACACTCGACCTCGAATAGTTTGTCAAAACTAGGAAGGGCTAACACGGGAGCATGTGTTAATCGCTCCTTGATTGTTTCAAAGGCCTGTTGGGCCTTGGAGTTCCACTCGAACTTCTGATTTTTCGTCAAGTCCGTGATAGGTGCTGTGATGGTGCTAAAATCTTTCACAAATATCCGGTAGAAAGAGGCAAGGCCATGAAAACTCCGAACTTGTTGCATAGTGGTGGGGGTCGGCCATTCTCTAATGGCTTGCGGCTTCTTTTCGTCCACCCGTATGCCTTCACTTGAGATAAAATATCCCAAGAACTCTGTTTCATATGCAAATAATTGGCTCTTCTCGAGGTTGCCGTAGAGTTTCTCCTCGTCCAACTTCTTAATCACCAAAGTGAGGTGATTAGCATGTTCTTCCTCACTTTTGCTATAAATCAGAATGTCGTCAAAGTAGACAACGACAAAATGTCCTATAAACGGCTTCAAGACTTGATTCATAAGCCGCATGAACGTACTTGGGGCATTGGTTAATCCAAATGGCATAACCAACCATTCGTATAACCCAAACTTCGTCTTGAACGCTGTCTTCCACTCGTCTCCTTCAAAGATTCGAATTTGATGATATCCACTCTTAAGATCAATTTTTGAAAAGATCTTGGAGCCATGCAGCTCGTCCAACATGTCTTCCAAACGGGGAATCGGATATCGGTACTTGATAGTGATCTTGTTGAGAGACCGACTATCACAACACATACGCCACGTTCCATTCTTCTTGGGTACCAAAAGTTCCGGGACAGCACACGGGCTAAGGCTTTCTCTCACGAAGCCCTTAGCTAACAACTCATCAACTTCACGTTGAATTTCCTTTGTTTCTTCGGGGTTCATTCGGTATGCTGGTTTGTTGGGTAGGGCAGCCCCCGGAATGAGATCAATTTTGTGTTGGATGTCTCGTTTAGGAGGGAGACCGTGTGGGACATCATCAGGGAAAACATGGGCATATTCTAGGATGATAGGCTCGGCTAAGGGATGAGGCTGTTTTGGGCAGTTTGATGGTTCGGCTTCTCCATCTTCCAATAGGATCAAATCTTTAATCCCATTGAATTCATGTTGTTCCGCTTGAAGGATAGTGGAGATAAGAACAGGAGGTTGTTCCTTGTTTGGTTTGGCCGCGGGTGTAGGAGGAGGTAAAGGGGTAAGGGTGATCTTCTTCTTATTCATCAAAAATGAATAAGTATTGGCATAACCATCATGTTGCACACGGTGATCAAACAGCCATGGTCGTCCCAAGAGGATGTGGCAAGCATCCATCGGGATGATATCACACCACACATCGTCTTTGTACGAGCTGCCAATGCTCAAGGAAATGAGACTTTGTGTATCAACACGTAGACCCTTGCCATGATTCAACCATTGAATCGTATATGGTTTCGGGTGTGGTGACGTCTTCAAATGCAGCTTGTCTACCATGGTTTTGGAAGCCACATTAGTGCAACTCCCACTATCGATGATGAGGGAACACACCTTCTTTTGGACAGTGCAACGGGTGTGGAATATGTTTTCCCGTTGTAGTTGTTCCTCGGGGCATGCTAGAGTGCTCAACGTCCTTCGGATGACCAAGAGTTCTCCATCATCGGGACCTACATACTCGTCTTGTTCTTCCACTTCTTCCGCTTCTTCTTCAACCCAAGTTGGGTCAAAGTCTTCTTCATCACATTCGACAATGGCCATTACCTTCTTATTAGGACATTCATTGGCATAATGACCTCGTCCTTGGCACCGAAAGCAAACAGGTGCTTTCTT